ATAAATCGTTTATACTAGCATTCAGGTATTGTAGAGATGAAAACCACTCATCTGATTCTTCCTTCTGAACTGTATGAAACTGACACATTTTTCGTATTACCGGTGAAAGCTTTGAAAATAATTCATTATATGTTACTGGTAATATCTGTTTTTTTTTTCTGATGAATCATACCATATATCTTTTTCTTCATCATATCCACCCTCATTAGCTGAAACACTAGAATTTATTGGTTGAAAGGGATAATATCGTTGCGTTCGATTTAATTTGGCTACTGGTTTTTGGAATTAATTGTTTATATTAAGATGAGATAACATATTCACAATTTCATCTACTTTCTCCTCTAATCTAGTAGAGTTAACTTTTTGCTGTGTACGAGGTCTTTGAAAAGGTTTTTCAGGATAATTTGAATCTAAATTATCTTTACTATATATTCCTAAATCGTTAAAGTATTTCGCTATATAATAATTTTTATAATCTTCTTCTATTTTTAAATTTGATAGGGAGCTTCTTAGCTGTCTAACCGGTTCAATGGTTTGCAAAACTGGTATCTGTGTTTTCTGCGCTTTGGAAGATTGAACTTCCTTTCTCAATTTTTCCATCTCAGCCTCATATTTGACATCTCGTTTTGCTAATTCATCTTGAAATCTTTTTTCCATATCAAGGGAAGAGGAAGCTGGTTGTGGAACTATAGGTTGTGATATAATATTGTCATTTTGCTGATGTTTTTTATTTTGTCTAACCTGAAAAGCTTGTTTTTGATTTAATTCACGATAAATTGTAATAAAACTAATAAAAAAAGCATTAATATCTGCTGGTGGATTTATTCTCATTCGAACTTCAATATTTTTAGGCAAATGATCATAAATATATGGTAATAGATCAGCATATGGTATATAGGTTAAATATGGTCTTATTCTTTTTCTATATATATCTGGTGTATCAGTTGAATTGAATTGTTCTTGAGATAAAAATCTTTTTGCCATCTGTTTACTTCCTACTGTTTCTGTACTATACTTTCCTTTTAACCATACTAAAAAGGTTGTCAAAGTAACTATAGCTGAATTTAGTGTAGTATAGGGATCATTTGCTAATACTGGAGTGTATTTTTCAGCCATTTTAGTTTTTAAAACATCACATTTGTTTGCATCAACAAATGTATTATTAATATTAGCATTAGCACTAGCTATAACTGGTTCTGTATATTCGAATACATGTAAAATTCTTTCATAATATTCCTCTGGATTTTCTTGTTCTATATATTACAGAATATTAGCAAGAAGTGACGTCATTGTTTGCATTACATCTACAATTGTTGTCATATTTACTTGATTATTCTGTAACAATAAAATTTGTCCCTATAAATTTAAAATTAATTGCTTAACATTTTGACTTCTATTTTTTCACTTACCTTATTTCAGATCAAGCTGGATATCATATAACAATAAATTATCCTTGTATTTACCTATTTTGATACGACATTGTTGTAATTCTAAAAAATATTGCTGACGTGTATTTCTTTCATTGTTATATGCCATCGTCATCAAATTAAGATCATTCAAGACATTATTTAAATCGGTTTGACGTAAATCTTGCTCTGTCTTAACATTATATCGATTCTGCTACTCATTTATTAAATAAGTTTGATCGTTAGTATATTTTTGATGAATTTGCCTTATAGCTCTTTTTATTTGGTCAACTAAAATCCTTTTGTCTGTTCTAGGATTATCTAAATAACCATCTATAGCTTTGGATAAATCTGAAATTGTTATCATATCTGTATTGGGAGTATAACTATCTTGAGAATTTTTATCAGAATCTTCTAAATTTGATTCATTGTCTATATTCCATGTCTCTACAACACGTAAAGTTTCTCGAGTATTGATAAGTTCTAATTTATCCCAATAATGCAATAACCTAATTAAAGCTCCTCATAGGCCTTAAGGCTCACGAGCCTAGCGAGCCGAACTGATCCAAGCTGAGCTGAGCCTGATATTATAGGCTCATAGGCTCACGAGCCAAGCCCAACTAAGGCCTAGCTCGAGCCTCAAAGTAGGCTCGCGAGCCTTAAAAATTTTGGGACCTTAAATAAAAGCCCACATAATTTTTTTTATTTTAAAATTCGTGGCTTTATTTAAAAGCCACGAATTTTTTTTTTTAAAAAAAAATTATCCGTTGCTATTAAATAGCAACGGAAAAAATCAAATTAAAAAAGCGATCCGTCGT